TGTTATTTCAATTTTCACTATTTTATTGGAATAACGCAGTCCCAAATCAAGCAACCTGGGAGAATATTCTAATAACTCTTCAGCCACAAATCAAGTACGCGGGGGAATATTCTGATAACATTGCAAAATAATCGAATAACATTATATAATACTCAAATAACACTTCTATTTTTACAAATAACACAGATGAATTATTCCTGTAGAATTCATGTTGATTGGTAAGAGGACTGTAGCAGGGACAATAATCTAAATTAAGAACATTGTTTAACTTTTTAATCAATGATAATGATATAAGAGTGGATAAAGTTTGCTAATATGAGGAAAACGGAATACCAATTCTACCCCCTTGAAGCAGTAGATATGTAAAATAATCAATTAATAAGGGCTGAATTTCTAATTTAAAAAAAACCAGATGGGGACACAACGCAGCCTGGTTTGCCGCTATTTAATTTTTGTAATTTTGTATAATAGTGTGCATCAACAACTGGGGAAGTCGAAATAATCCAACTCAGAATTTTAATTGCTGTTGGAATTTGTTGACTAAACCAAAGCCTTCATACCTTACAATACTTTACTTCTAGATAGATTTTTAAATAGGGGTGTTTTCCGTACGAGAAAAATATTACATTAGGACTTTTAACGTAGAGCAACGTTCGGAGTCTAATGAAATGACGACACGTTGAGGTGATAGAAAATTAAAAAAAAATTGTTTTAGCGCTGGGGAATAATCCTCCCGTGTTATTCCACGTTATGCAGGTGTTATTCTGGTGGTATTCATGTGTTATTGTGTAATGAAAATATTCCCGGTACTATAATAACACAATAACATATCAATATCACCACAACAACGCCCGAATAACGCAAAAAAATACAGGAGAAATATTCTCCTGCGTTGCCGGACCGGATCACAGGAAAGCGCGCTCGTTTCCTTGAAGCTACGTGTCTGTATATCAGTGAACTTCGAACGTAGCTCTACGATAGGAGTTCCGATCTAATATTTTTTCCTTTGCATACGTAGCATCACACAATCCTTAAGAATTTAAATATCTAACACTTAGATTTTTCCTTTTACATCCATAACAACCAAAATTTTCATATCAAATAAAAAAAATGCAATCATTTTAACTAAAAACAATGAAAGTGACATGCATGTAAGAAAATTGAAGTTAGATTTGTACATACATAGGAATTGTGGGGCATACATAGATGATATGCATGTAAGAATTGAGGGGCATGTATGCACATCTTTATTTTTCATATTATCTAATAAAGGATGGTTCCAATGCTTGACAAATGTTGTTGTCTATTGCCGGCCGACGCCAAAACGTACACCAACCTACTAAATTTTAGCAAGTTGTATTTTGGTGATCTCCTCCTCTACTATAAAAGGCTTTTAAAAATCAACAAAGTAAATAGATTGAAGTATATTAGTTTATAAGGATGCTCAATATGCATGACATAATAAGGGTTTAAAAAATGTATGTTGAGGAGGTAGATAGATAACTACTCAATTTTAAAATCTAAAATAAAGAGCTATTTGGAACAATTTTTGTTTGAATTTATTTCCTCTCTACTTTGATTTCTTCTTCTTTATCATTCTTTTGAAGATTTGTTTTTGTCCCTTATTAAATAAGCTCATGCATATTTTTTTCATCCTTGTTCATGCATACATTCATACACACCCATATAACAAATCATTCATTAACAAAACGAAAAATACGAGTTAAAATTTTATATCTATTTTAATATTTGAACCAGAATTTAAAAAAAAAAAAAAGCTAATTGTATAGTAAATTATATTTCGAGTGTAAGAGGAAATTTGTGGACGAAAAAATTGGCTCGGTAAAATTTGAAAAATTATTCCATACGGATACCGTATGCAGAGATGTATATGGGGTCTGATCTCTACCATACATCACAACAAAGATATATGAAGATGAGCTTTATTTTGAACTTTTTTTAAAAAAAAATTTACTGTAATAGACGGTAAAGAACAGACACAACATATATCTCTGAATACGGTATCTATATGAAATAGATTTTTTCAGAAGTATAAACAACTAACGTGAGAAAGTTTGCTTTGACCTCCCCACCCAATGAGTGGATACCGCAATGAACAGCAAAACCGAATTAGAATCGCAAATATATCATTCAAATATTTTTTTTGTCAGCAATCAGTCAATCCCAAAAGTCAAACATCTAGACGCGTAGAACATCAAAAAGATAAAAAAAAAGCCTTTTTTTAATGATCGGATGTGCGGTACTTCTTTTTCGCTATCACTATTTTATAAATATAAATACAGAAATTTTCAGTATTAGAGATGCAAATACATAAGAATTAGGTGGTTTTATTGTAAAAATCCTTTTTTTTTTAAGAAAATAACGTTAGGATTCTGAAGAAGTAAAGAGATGGAATCATGATTGCTGCGAAAAGCTTAGCAATGATTCATGTCATACCAGTATCAAGATTAGCGATAATTACATCTTCCCCAAATCTAGCTTTTCTCCACAGAGATTGCTTCGGGACAATGCCGTCTCTCTCCAGGCCAAGGAACTGCCATGACCGAGTTGTGTGGAGCTTGTGCCCTCTGTTCTCAAAAACAGAAACAACTCCGGGATGCTCTGAATAAATATAATTAATACAATTCAGAAAATAAACGACATAAATCTTTCAGAAAATGTGGAAGTAAGAGAGAATTCCTCTCACTTGAGATCTCCAGAGCATCTTCCTCCTCCAGGATTGCTGCGAAGCCATTGATGCATCTTGTGTAAGAGTAGAAGATTGCATCCCTGGCCTTCTCCTTGCTGCATTAATCCTCAATTACTTATATTCAAAAAATTTCCATAAGCAAATAAATAAATAAAGCATTATATTTCATGCCGTTTCTGCACCTCTGAAGGAATGATTCCAAGAGCTCATAGTGGGATTGTGTCACGATTTCATTAGCATCAGCAGAGAATTCTGCTGTGAAGTCGGATTGGGCTCCGAGGTAAACAACATAGGACTGTAACAAAAGAGAAGAACAGAGGAGAAATGAATCACAGATTCAAAGTGACTGCTTTGAAAAAGATGAGAACTTTTTGATGAACAGATTGGAAAAGTGAAATAAAGGCGAACCTTTTGAGCAGCAAAAGCCGGGCATTGAAGAAAATAGAAGGCTGAGATGAGAAGAAACGGCAGAAAGTTCATTGTTTTCTGAATCTTCTTCATCTTCCTTCTTCTTCTTCCTCTCTGCGCTAGAAGCACAGGAGACTGATCACTTTCTGCTCTGTTTATAGAATGACGAACCTTCTAAATGGGGAATTTGAATGAATCACGCCTGCGCATTAAAATTGACGTTGATAATTATGGGAATTGAGTGATTCTGAAGACGGTTTACCTAATATAATTAAGATTATTTCCGGTTAATTTAAGAAAAAAATCATATTTTAGGCCGATATTTTATCTGCATTTCCTTTTAGACCGCCGAATGATTTGTCTAATTCTTAATTTCATTTTTGACTTATTTGGCCTCGGTTACGGCTGGGATTGGCGAAGCAACAGAAGAGGGATCGAAAATTTGACCTCATTCATTCTGTGCGCGCCATTGTCATTCATTCTGTGCACTCCATTGTTGGTGGACCGCACGTTGTTGAGCTAAAAATAAAGGCTTTTGCATACATGCCACATTATTTTTTTGTGTTGACATGTCTAGCACATAAATATTCATATTTACATGCATAGAAGTCGAATCTTAAACAACATATCAAAAATAATATCACCTATATTTTTTTAGAAGTGTAATATGCAATATTATTCATGTGTTTATGTTACTAAAATATTTAAAATGTAAATATCAAACAGACACTTTGTTTGTTAGAGATGTTAAGTACATAAGAATTACGAGGTTTGTAAATTCTTTTTTCAAAAAAATATTATTTTCTTCTATATTTTATTGGCTGATTATTTATTTGATTATTTTTTTATTTGTTGTTACAAGAGATGATTACGGATGAGCATCGGCTAACTTTATTATATAGTTTTATCGTTGTTTACTAGAATAAGGTTTCAAATCTCACGCTGTAGGATATTGACACACCATCAATAAATATAATTAATACAATTCAGAAAATAAACGACATAAATCTTTCAGAAAATGTGGAAGTAAGAGAGAATTCCTCTCACTTGAGATCTCCAGAGCATCTTCCTCCTCCAGGATTGCTGCGAAGCCATTGATGCATCTTGTGTAAGAGTAGAAGATTGCATCCCTGGCCTTCTCCTTGCTGCATTAATCCTCAATTACTTATATTCAAAAAATTTCCATAAGCAAATAAATAAATAAAGCATTATATTTCATGCCGTTTCTGCACCTCTGAAGGAATGATTCCAAGAGCTCAAAGTGGGATTGTGTCACGATTTCATTAGCATCAGCAGAGAATTCTGCTGCAAAGTCGGATTGGGCTCCGAGGTAAACAACATAGGACTGTAACAAAAGAGAAGAACAGAGGAGAAATGAATCACAGATTCAAAGTGACTGCTTTGAAAAAGATGAGAACTTTTTGATGAACAGATTGGAAAAGTGAAATAAAGGCGAACCTTTTGAGCAGCAAAAGCCGGGCATTGAAGAAAATAGAAGGCTGAGATGAGAAGAAACGGCAGAAAGTTCATTGTTTTCTGAATCTTCTTCATCTTCCTTCTTCTTCTTCCTCTCTGCGCTAGAAGCACAGGAGACTGATCACTTTCTGCTCTGTTTATAGAATGACGAACCTTCTAAATGGGGAATTTGAATGAATCACGCCTGCGCATTAAAATTGACGTTGATAATTATGGGAATTGAGTGATTCTGAAGACGGTTTACCTAATATAATTAAGATTATTTCCGGTTAATTTAAGAAAAAAATCATATTTTAGGCCGATATTTTATCTGCATTTCCTTTTTAGACCGCCGAATGATTTGTCTAATTCTTAATTTCATTTTTGACTTATTTGGCCTCGGTTACGGCTGGGATTGGCGAAGCAACAGAAGAGGGATCGAAAATTTGACCTCATTCATTCTGTGCACTCCATTGTTGGTGGACCGCACGTTGTTGAGCTAAAAATAAAGGCTTTTGCATACATGCCACATTATTTTTTTGTGTTGACATGTCTAGCACATAAATATTCATATTTACATGCATAGAAGTCGAATCTTAAACAACATATCAAAAATAATATCACCTATATTTTTTTAGAAGTGTAATATGCAATATTATTCATGTGTTTATGTTACTAAAATATTTAAAATGTAAATATCAAACAGACACTTTGTTTGTTAGAGATGTTAAGTACATAAGAATTACGAGGTTTGTAAATTCTTTTTTCAAAAAAATATTATTTTCTTCTATATTTTATTGGCTGATTATTTATTTGATTATTTTTTTATTTGTTGTTACAAGAGATGATTACGGATGAGCATCGGCTAACTTTATTATATAGTTTTATCGTTGTTTACTAGAATAAGGTTTCAAATCTCACGCTGTAGGATATTGACACACGATCAAAAAAATTCCTGATTGCGGTGCGTATATTGAGGTAATTTTTTGAGCAAAGAATGTTCAAATTTTAAATAAAAGTAATCTGGAGTTTCAATTCCAACAAAATTATAGTAAAATCGGCTCAACGAGATGGACCCAATGATACAAAAAATCGGAGCCAGAACGCGCCTCGATCAAACCATTAAACTATATTTGAAAGGTCAAATATATGATGAATTTTATGAGCTTATAGGCGCATCAAATATCTTGACATAATAAATCCAACGAGTCCAAGATTGCTGAATTCTAACAATATTAAGACACTCAAATGTCCATCAAACTCCAACTGATCGAGGGGAGTTCTCTGGGTCATCTGATCAAAATGGTTCATTTTATTACATTAATTTCACCTGAAACTCTATAAATAGAGGCCCATCACTTTCATGAGGGGGGAGAGAACTTGAAGCCCTAGGAGAAATCTATGCCCGAAGAGAGAACTTGAATCCGAAAGAGAGCTTGAGGCTTGAGAAGGAACTTGAAGCTGTGAGAACAAACTGAAGTCCAACATCAGTCCTGCCGTTGTCGACCAACGTCAACCGTCGTCAACCACCACAAACCACCATTGATTACATCAAATTATCGTCGACCACCACGTGAAACAAGTGGTTGCAATTGTAATCATCTTTTTTATAGTGGAACTCTTCAGTTGGGTCACGCACCATGATTTTTTTCTTTTCTGGGTTTTCCACGTAAAAACTTCTGGTGTCATCATTAATTATTTTCTTTCATTTCAGAGTATGTGTTGAATCTCCATACCACACTAAAATGATAATCCGCTAATCTAGTGTCATAAATTTTAATATGATTGTTGGTCATAGTTTTGAATGAGCCTCTTGTTGTGTTGAGTCTGTCTCACATAATACTAGGTCGGTTGTTGGTCGTGGCTCCTCGCCTGACCTCTTTGGTTGTTGTCCCAGCCAGTCCCTCTATTATCACGAGGTAGCAAGTCTTCATCATGTTGGGGATTGTTCGTGAATTTTCCTTCTTCTTCCACCCACTAATTTGTTAGGGTCTTTTCTGGGAGCAGCGATCTAATGGTTTGACATTAACGAAGTTCTCATAGGCGTTAATATACTTATTGGTCATCTCCAACAATTCAGCCAAACTCCGTGTTATTCCACGCTGAGGTGAAAACGAAACCTCTCAGACCTCAAACCTTGGGTCAAGACTGCCTGTTTCATGTTCGATCACAACTCCGTCACCTCCAGCATCTCTCACTGGAATGATAGAATGAACGAAAGTGGGCTTTTGTTCGGTCCTTGTTTGAGCTGTCACAAGGACAATGCCCTTATTTTTTGCCTCTAGGCTCTCGCAAACTGCACCAAGAAAAGTATTTTGAAATTGGAGAAACAAGTAATAACCTCGACCGACAATGAGTTGAACCACCTCAGAGTGATGGTCTAAGGGTAGTTAAAAACAACTTGTATTTGAATGCGTAGGAGACCTTTAACAAGCACATTAATGACTTGAATGAATAAAGGTGGCCATTGGGATCTGATTGACCTTTGTAAGATTCTAACGTTGGGAGTTTAAACTTCTCTAGGGGTTCAGCTCCCAATATCTCGAGGGAGAACACATTCTTTGGTTTCCATGGGGTCTTAGTACGCCCAAATCATTGTCCTTCTATATGTATAGATCCCACACTTTCCTAGTATTGTGAATCTCTGCCCCTCTTCAGGCCATGGTTCAACCTTCTATAGGTGTGCACCAACGTCACTTCTCTACAAGGAATCTGCCAATGAGAAGTGTGTTCTCCTCCTAAAGATGTAACAACTATAAGGACCTCTGCAATTTGTTCCAACACCTAATTTGATATCTAGCTCCTTAGCTCTTTTATTTCTCATTGCATGTACTCCTCCATGAATTCTCTGGTTCATCCTATAGTCACTATGTCTCTCTAATGGTTTTCTTCTTGTCATTGTGCTTCTCTTCTTCTTTATGGCATGGCTCTATGCTCACAACACTTTATAGAATGTTAAATTTGAAACTATCTGAGAGACACATCCAAGGAATAGAACATAAAAGAGGAGAGAAAAACAAAGAGGGAACATTAATGAACAGTGAAATTACATAACGTTTTTCATAAGATGAGCTCCCTATTTATATATAAGGGGACCTCGAGATTACATTTTGTGTCCGTAGCAAAATAGCGATTGCAGGGGGTACTTTAGGTAGTATACATTAGTAGGCCCAGAAGGAAGCCTAAAAAGGCACCCAGCCAGACATAATCCAGGCGAACATCATTCTGGGCAGTCGACGGAAGGATATCAAATATCCACAACAAGTTCAAGCTGCTGTTGATGTCTGTCTAGTCCAATTGAGGAATGTCATTGAGCAGTTGTGCGGGAGTTTGGTCGGGGTATCCTTTGAGCCAGTTGTCAATAGTATCTAGTTGTGTAGGTTGCATTTTGCCTTGCTAGTAAGAGCCAGGCAGTTGAAAGATAGATCCTTAGGTGTTATCACCTGGCTAGCATGTGTCAGTCGATCAAAGGTAGACACTTGGGTTTTACCCGGTGCACCCCTACTTGTACGTCATTTCCCTTGGGATCAATGGATCTCTTTAAAATTTGTGTGGACTTATTTTGTTTGTACATATTAATTTTCATAAATAATAAATCAAAGTAGGAGGTCCCCAGACTCTCATTCCAAAAACTCCACCTAATTAATATTTATTTTAAAAATTTTTAAATTTTTAAAATTGAGCCTACTGTCATACACTTTCTGGGATAGAAAGAATTTTAGTTGGAGGACCGCGTGCAATTTTACATACGTTGAATATGCAATAATTTTTCTCCTTCCCTCTGACCAGCTTGAACACTTGACCCAAAATAGCTAAACACTCCAATCATGGACCTCTCCGTGGGCCGCCAAGATAATGTCATTGCAAGAGACTCCTCTCCTTTTCGTCATCTCATCTCCCTCCGCCTCGCTAACTCCTCCCTCCGCCCTCTATCCGTCCCTCCCTTTCCCATCTCCGCCTTTTTCTTAGACAACTCGTCTTTCGGCTTGCCGCTCTGTAAAGAGATAGATTCCGCACTCAATTCACGTCCCTGAAATTGGGCCCCACCCTCCAACAATCCTGCCCAGTGCATTATAGGCATGTGCCCACTTGCTCTGAAATGAGGGAGAAAGAGGGAGACGAGGCGTAACAGAGACTTGGGCAGTTTATTTGGTGTCGTGGCGTTTTGAAAGCATACTTGACCTCTTTGATGGGTAAACTGCGTTTAGGCAGCTTATGTGTTTTGAAAATGCAGAAAGCAGTGTTTTCACACCGCATCCATCTAGATGCGATGACAGTTTTCTGGCAACAGTTTGACTTTTTAAACAAAAAATAAATAAATTATAATAACCACTGCACCTAACTTATCAGCAGATTATTTTTAATCAGCTTATTAGCAGATTATTCAATAAGCTGCAGCTGCCCCAGACCCTTCGTATGTCAAAAATGAGTTTCAGGGTCGTCTTTTGTAAATATAAGAGTTTGGTGGCCTCCGTATCTAAAAACCCCATAAAATAATATATAAATTATTTTTCCAAACTTTTCAAAAAAACTTCAATAATAAGATTATGCATGCTCTTTCTTAATGCATATAGGGCAGTCTTCTAAATTAAAGTATCCCTTGAATTAAAAATTTTCATTTATTTTACAATAGGTTAATTTATTATATTAAAATACAAAATATATTTATCCTATTTTAATATATTTTAGTAGTATATATCCACCTAAAATTGAGTTTGATGCTGTAGAGTTTCTGGACTTACCTGTGCGATATAAACACGAATGACTTCCTGTGCTGCTACTGAACCTCATCAGTAAATACATAAGAATTGTGTGGTATCTAAAAAAAAACTGTTTTTGATAATTTAAGTTGACGGAGCGCTACTCTTGTCTAGACCTATAATTTTTAATCCTTCTAGTTATATACAACGATATTAAAATGACATGTATCTATAAATAAGATTATGCATGCTTGATATTAACTTAGTATACATAAAGACCTGCTGCACAAGAAGTATTTGGGCTGAATGAAGTACATTTCAATATATTTATTTTTTTTTCATCCTCTTCCCAACTCTATGTGTAGTTCCTTTATTTCCTTCCTGTTGTCTGCTTCTCTATTTCTTCGTAATATCAGAGCCATAGTTGAAAAGATCTACATTCTCCAACTAAAAGCCAATGGGTACATTAATGTCATCTTCAACTCCAACCAGTCAACAGCAACTCTTCCCTCACAAGAAAGTT